AAAGAAAAGATGATTCTTGAGATACAGTCCCAAACCTCAAGCTTGTGAATCAACTTTCAATTTTGAGCCTTCTGTTCAGAACCTGAAGCGCCGCGACGTTGTGCGCCTGCCGTGGCCTGCCATGCGCAGGCTGATGTGCATTAGAACTGAACGAGAGGTAGAGGGAGAGGGAGAGGCACGGACAGAGAGAGAACCCCTGTTAACAGATGTAAGGTGTAATTTCAAGCTCAATCCTGGTGGTCAAAAGATTCTGCCTTTGCAGTCGGTCATTTTCCGGATTTTCGCACAGAGATTTGGCATTTGATTGCCATATGTCCGTGAACATCCTTAGGCTTCATCTGCAGAGACAAGAAAGCAATGTCCCAGTGGATCAAAACCAAATCATACCGTACTACTTCCCAAATGTTGGGTACCCAGCGGCTCCTTAGGAAGCTCACAACAGATATGGGGGAACTGCCGGCGAGTGGAGACCCGTCGTCAACACCCGAACGGCAGAAAGCAAGGCAAACTGGACTAGTTTGCATTGCTGAACTAAGCTGCAGGCACCAGAAATGTCTACAGTCTAAGGTAGAGGGCAGAAAGTTGTACGGCAGACCCAAAGCTGGCAATTCAATGATTACCTGTACTCTGATTCTCAACGGCAGAGTGAACCCGGGCTCGGGCGAAGTCCCAGCATGGCACCGAGGTGGTGCTAAGCCCAGAACTAGGAAGCTGTGGCAGTGAGAGGCAGGAGCACAATTGAAGATGAGGCTTGTTTCCCCCGAGAAAAAGGAAAGAGGGAGGGAGGAGATTGGGAGCCCACAGTAACACTCAGTTTCTCACTCATTGGACCTTGAACGAACATACCGGGGCGAGCTTAGGCCAGGCGGGAACTCCCGTCATGCCCTTAGCCAAAGCCAAAGCCGAAGAATCGGGGAGGGAGGGAGAGGGAGAAGGAAGCTGGTGGTGGTGACAGGCAATCTTTGTTGCTGCAGAAGCAGGGGGGCAGCAGTAGTAGTGGTGGTCATGTAGCAGCGCGAACGGCAGAGGAGTCGTGATGCTAGTGAGGACTCCAGTTAGATTTGAACGAAGTTCGACCCGGAATCAGGCCCCCGCCGCCCATGACTGAGCAGCACTACCTGTTTCAGGACGTTTTTGGATGCTTTTAGCCTTTTTTCGGGAGGGCGAGCAGCGGAAGATATATTTCTTTTTGGCGATATGCTGACAGTACAGGCCTGCAGCTGTTGGTAAGGACAAATCGAGTCTAGGCTGCTGTACCGTGCATGTTTAAAAGCCTTGACAGCTTGTTTACATGAGCTATAGTCCAAACTCCAAGTATCCCCCTAAAGAACCCTACAACACTCCCCTATACAATCCCCTTTAAGAATTTTAGACCCTAAACCCTAAACCTTATAAGCTCACATGTACACCCTGAACCCTATTTAATCACTTGTAAAACCCCCTAAACCGTCAACCCTAAACCCCTTTAAGGAGTTTACACTACAGCGCCCATGTCCCTGGAACCTGCTTAGTCCCGGGCAGAACAGCTCCCAGCCCCAGCCCGGCAGAAGCACCACTTCAGTGCTAGGCACCCTTAAAGGGGTTCGTAGGGGTTATATAGGGGCACATAGGAATATATAGGGATATTTAGGGTTTAGGATCTAGGAATATAAGGACATATTGGGTTGAGGATTTCAGGTTTAGGGGTAAAAGGCTTCCAGTTAATCAATCAGCACCCCAAAAGCGCTGGCTCACATAAAATCACGCCTCATGCCCCTAAGTGTATGTTGTACTTCCCATGTACTTTTCACACCCGCCGTAGCATGCTCCTTCAGAAGCCATTTATGCCTTCAACACGAAACAAATCAATACCTGCAGTCCCTTGAAATAGATACTCAGGTTTCTCTTGTTTTGGACTAGAGAAAGGTTTTCTTCACAAGATTGCCGCTTCAATGATGCAGTCCTCGTCTCGCAATATGTCGCAGGAAGAAGATATTCAGTCTCTTTACAAAAGCACGAGAATTGAACCTTAATCGCTAAATCCTAATAATCCTACACGTGATTCTGTTGAAAGGACTGGGAGAAGCTGTCGAACAAGCGCTTCAGTCCTGGCAGGCTCCAAACAAGGTTGTGCAGTCCATTTCTGAGGGTTTCTCTAGCAAGAATTCAGTGCTCTGGGGAACATATACACCCTAAATAGTAGCTTCCATTTTCTTTCCCATTATCCCTATAGTAACCCATATACCCCTTATAGTGCCTGACACCTTGAATACATTTTGAGCAGGGTCTGAAATAGCCAAACTTCTTCCGGACTTCCAACGTCCAGGCTCAACTTGGCGGCCTGCAGATGCTTTTAAGGCTTCGGGAAGTAGTTTGCCCTGTTCTGATAGTACTTGTCTCCAGCTAGAATTTAGTTGTAGCTGAACTTTTCATGGTACAGAAGCCTCGCTAGGAGTGCTGCTCGTGGTGAGGTTGATTCCTTGGGCCGGGACTTGAGTTCAACACCTGAAGGCTCCCTGCCGCCTGGGATAGCATGGACGGCCCAACACGCCGCAAGTATCGCAGCCTCTCTATCGCAGCTGTTGAGGCCGGAGGAATAGAGCAGCTTCACAGCGACAATCCGAATCCGCAGTCGCCTCCCGTTGTTGGCGGTCTATGTGCAAGGTACACCAACAGATTTGCCGCTGGCGACTTCGCATGCACATCCTTCTCAAGGCAAGGTGAAGAAGCGAAATGAGCTTGTGGTGTTCGGTATCTTCGAGCAGTCTCGCTGCGCCAAGTGACTGATGGTGTTCGGTATCTTCGAGCAGTCTCGCTGCGCCAAGTGACTGATTTCTTCTGCGGTGCTTTGCCTCCAGAGGAGCTGATAGACCTGGCGCCGAAGCAGAAGACGACCTCATACGCGCTGTACACCATGGAGTGTCGCGGCAGAACAGAATTGGGTTTGTGTGTGCATTCGACTGCCCTACCTGTGACATCCTGTGACGTTTAGCGCTTTAAGGGCTTTCGGACTGATAGGGTTGTGGTCCTTTCTCTCTATGGGTTTGCAGGCAGTCTGCAGAAAGATCTGAGGAAGTCGAAGAAAATTGTGGACCTGCCTCCGTGGCTAGAAGTCAAAGAGGAGTTTGTTGAACTCCTTGAACATTTATCCCTTGATGGATATTCATGTAACTGCCTGATTGACATTAGGGAACGTGGTTACATTTGGCTAGGAGTATGAACCAGGAGCCAGCATTACGCAAGTTGTGCGTGACATAGCTTGGCGGAGGAATACCAGAGACGTGCCGTGGAGCGGAACAAGCAGTTGAAGCTGGGCAGGCAAAGAAGAGTTGCATGTTTCGTGCAGGTCGATACACTCTCCCAATGTCTCCCAGCTACTTGTAGCAGTATGCCAGAGTTGTTGTTTCCTGCAATGGCTTGATGCTGCCCATGACACCTCTTGGATGACTAGTCAGGAAAGAGATGCGAGATCTCTACATCGAGGCCTTTGGTGTGCTGAGCATGCTGAGTCGGGGATGGGCAAAAATGGAATAATGAGAGCCTGAGGTTCTACTGGGCGCTGGCTGGTCACAGCAGCGCTGTAACTTCTTTCCTCCATCAGCGCTGCGCTGCACCTCAGTGCGAACTAGTGTACTCAGAATTGGTAATCGACTCTTTTTGCGTCTGACCGCTGTCAGGCCTCTAATTGTGTCTCGGGTCCAACCTACTGTAGCAAATATGAAACATTACGAAAGAGGGAGCTCCGAGCTGAGTAGCATGCTATCCATCTAAGAATCTAAGGTTTGCTCACGCTGCTACTGTGCTCGCGCCGCACAAACACGGCAGCCAGCAGAATTTCTGCGCGTGTTTGGATTGATCACGTTTTCCCTTACATTCCTTGCTACTGGTTTGTCAAGCTTGACTAACAAACGGCTGCCATACGCCCTTAGCTAGAATTTGGTTTCAGCTTGCTTTATCCAGGGGTACTCGTCTCAAATTTGCAAAGGCTTTGCCGTGGCAGCAGCCCTTAGGCTTGCCAGATGCAGCCGGTTAACAGCCGTCAGGGCTAGATCTCGCAGAGCTTGCTTCAGGAGAGTGACCATGTGGGCGGCTGGAGCATGGGCAAAACAAACATGTGGTTGTCAACACCTAAGGTTGGCATTTCCTGAACTCTCTTTGCCAAATGCCATCTTAGTCTAGCAAGCAAACCTTCGTCAGAGCCGCTCGCACAGTTTGGCCTCATGACCTGCTTCAAGACGCGTCCAGTTGCCCATGTCTGCTGTAACCTGCCAGCAAGTCGTTTCGTAGTTTGTCGTGCGCGGACTCTCAAAGACGGAGACATCCGCCTGATCAAGATGGGAGGTGATGCGTGGAAAAGCTGCGTTGCCGCTTTCCTTGCTATGATATGTCTTGCATATCCGTGCCTTTCAAGCAGTCTTCGCATCTTTGATCATTCTCTCAATAATACGCACAAGACAAGGGGACTGGGGTTTATTGCCAAAGATGGTCAGGGCGAACATCGTTTTGGATGTTTTCGCCTCTAGGGCCTGCTTAAAACTTTACTGAGCAACATATTCACGACTCCTTTCTCATAAGTCCCGTCCGAACTCAGAAATGTTGATGTTCCCCACCTTTCAAAGGAATCCATGATGTTTCTGTCCCCATTACTTTCAAAGAAAAAGGAAAGCCTCTTGGCAACTATTCACGGAAACCCACCACACAACAAATGCATGAGTGAATTATTGATTGATGATGTAGGGGGCGCAACCTCAATTTATGAGGTTCAGGGATGTAGGGCGGTCCCCAGTGATGCTAGCAAGAACAGTGGTGCAGACAGGAAAAGTCGCGAAGCTAGCCTCAAGCCCGAATCCGGCTCTGATCTAAGGAATCGCCTGTCTGCAGAGGGCCTGCGGAAGGTGCCTTCCTTACTTTTTGTGGAACCTTGCGTTTAAATTCAGACTATTAGATCTGCCTCTTGTTTAATCAGGTGTTGGAGCTATGCTCCCGATGTGAGAAGCTACGCATATTGAAGCTCTACAAAAATGCCGGGAACCTCAGACATTCAACTTTGCGTGGGGATTTGGCTGCCTCGCACAGTGACCAAGGACATCAACGATGACGCAGCTCAGGCGCTGCATCTAGGTGTCGAGGATATCGGTAGAAGTCAGACCGGTTTGTTTTGATGCTACTTTCGGATCGGATGCCCGAGTTAAGCATCCTATGCCCCAAGCCCTAAACTCTAAGCCATCCAGGAATGCCGACCAAGGGCGAAGCAAGAACATCCCGCCAATATCCAAGACCTCTAGACCCTAAACCTTAGATCCAACGCCCCAAGCCCTTGACTTTCAACGCAACCCTTGATGGAACTCAGCAGGCTTTGAGTCGCTTCGTGCGAAAATGCGACACGCTGGAAGAGCTTCACCTTTCACACAACCGCTTCACTGCCCGGGCCTCTGTGTGATGGGTTCAGGTTTGGACGGTTTACGGTTTTGCCGGCATGTGGTTGACATATGTTTTCTTGAACAAGCGAGTTCAATGTGCAGGCTTTGGCAAGTTCCAACTCAGATTTCCCATTGATGCCAGGAGCGGGGTGTGGAGATGTTGGTGAGAGCTGCGGAGGAGGCTGGGGACCTGAAGTGGGATGAGGGGCAACTTTAAAGGGGTCTCTGGGCGCCACACTTCTTCAGATTTGCCAATATAGCTCTGTAGACATGTCATTCGGAGAGCGATCCGAAGATGCATTTGCATCTGGACCAAAATAGGCCGTGGTACATGGATTCCAAAGCCTGAAATGGGATACCTTCAATACATTGCTAATCCTCGCATACATTCTGGATCCCTACAGATAGCTGCTGTTTGTGAAGACTTTATTTCCCGCAAGCATTGCAATGCTGTGAGGCACGCGCAGATGCTAGCGTCCCCATGTGGACGCGGTTGGAGCAAAACGATGTCAAAAATCCGGAGCAGGCGCTGGCCCTGCGCCTTTGATCCCATCATGTGAAAACTTGAATCACTGCGCGACAGACTTGTTGCACCGGCAAATTTACGCATGAAGCTGGACTTCCACGCGTGCCTGCGAGATCACTGCCCTGACAGGTGCTAGACGATCTGCAGAATCGATATAGCGCACAGGCCTCAGGAAAAACCAAACATAATGCAAGAAGCCTTCCGCAAATGGGTTTTGAATTGCAAGCAGGGCCAGGGCTCCCTGTGTATTGTTGGTCGCTGAGGTCTGCGCCAGGAAGAACCGCAACAAGTGCTCGAACCGCACCTGCTGCTATGGTAACAAGGTGCGGTCCCACACCTTCTTGATCCTTCTTGCACGGGTTTTTCTGATTACAATGAAATCTCCTTGCAAGTCCCTGGAAGAGTGTGGAATTCTCTGCCAGCCGTTGCGAATGCCAGTCATAATGTCACATGGATGTTGACTTCGCGCAGAGTCTGGCTCAAGTGCGCTATACTGCACTTGTGATCAACCTCGAATAAACCGTTCGTGATTAGTGCGGACTAGCTTAAGATGTCTTGTGCCAGCATCGATCCTCGATGTGGCTCGGCAGCTGCAAGCATGTGCGAAGGGGCATACTGTGGCGTATGTTGCGGCAATATCATTTCCACTAACTAGTAACGCTCAATGACCATGGATGTAGTGGTCTCCTGCTTGTCAGCATAGCTGATGAGGTGCCGGGCCCTCAGAGGCATCGCCCGGTCGATCCTCGACAGGCTGCCACGCGATGCGTGCTGACGAGGCAAGACCGTGATGGCTTCCTGTGATAAGTAGCGTACATGCTGAACTTGCTGTACAGCCAGGCATCGTCCATTAGGGCTGGTGCTTTTGGGGTTTCTGCTGCTGTTCAACTTGAGTAGAACTTGGCTCTGTGCTTTCAGGAGGAAGATCGATTGTCCACAGCGGCGCCCTCGCTCTGTGACGACCGAGAGGAGCTGGGAGTGGGCACTGGAAGTGGTGAAATGTAGCAGTACTTACTTCCCCTTTCCTACTCAAAGATGTCCAGTTTACCCGGAGCTGCCCGTATCATGGGCCAGGATGCCAGCACGAGCTTCTTGCCTGAAGTAAGGATACAACCTAGCGAGCGCATGTGATGTGTGGGTCTGTTGCCGCTTGCCCGCCTTGCCATTGAGGGTGGGCAGATGTTGCCGACGTCGATTGCAATTTTCTGTCAGCAGTGAAGGCCTGATTGCACGACTGGAAAGGCTTAGAATGGTTTAGACATGCTTTGACCTTGGCTGATTGTATCCTTTGTTTGCTGATTTGCACAGGATCAGGAGGCGTTAAGCAGTGCTGAGTCAAGTGCCCTGTGCCGGCAGGCGCCAAAAAGCCGACGCTGGGCTGACCTGTGTGACTCAGATGAGTCCGACGACGAGCAAGATCCGGCTCTTCTGGCCTGTATTTCAACTGGGGCCGGAGGAAATCTGGCAAGGATCATCAAGCGCTGTTCCTCTGTAACTTGTGCCTGCGCTTACTCCAAGCTCCGAATACATGTCTCTGATTCTTTCAAGGCACCAGGCTTTCTGGAAGCGAGAAGCCTTTACCCAGGTCTCTACACAACAAAGAGATCATTGTTATGCTTATGCACACTTTCCCCTTTCATTCCAGGCACAGTCCTCTTCAAGCCCGGGACCCGGGGAATCCCAGACCGAAGCGAAGGCCTTGGTCTGACTCTGTTTGGGTCACCAAGTAAGGGTCCGTGTGGGATTGTGGGGATGTTATGGGGTACCTAAGGGGTACCTAAGGGGTGCCTAAGGGGTGCCTATACAGGTTACGTGGGTTACTGTGAGGCTATTGGATTGGGGCTTCGGAATGAGGGCTATGCAGTTATTATGAGGATGCTGTGAAGCGACGGGGTGTCTATTGACTCTGGGGCTTCTGCGGTCTTCTGCGAGGCACTCTGGGGGCAAAATGCGTCACATCGGGGTGACTCGGAAGCTGTTTTGGGAATGTGGTATATATGACCTAGCTGGACTGCTCCCACCGGTGTTCCCCAAAAAATGGTGGGAGCAGATTGTTGGGGGATTTTTTGTTTTCGGTGGATTGTATGGCTTGTATTCATCTGGGGAGTGGGCCATTGTGGGCCATTGTGATTTCTTAGTGGGCGTTCCTAAGGAGCTCCTACATGGATCTATGTTGTCATTTCATACTGATGCAGCTTTGCTGAGGGCAGGTTCCATTAAACAGCAAAGGATCTGCTTCACAGGTTGGTCAATTTTGAGCAGCGCTTTTGAACCTGGGCATTTCCCAAAGTTAGGGACCCTTGTCCCACCCCTGAACTAACAGTATTCTCGTCCCGAAAGGAGAACCCCCCCTTGTGAAGAAGTCAGCAGCATTGCTGTGCCTCAGGCCACTGTCCCGACCAAGCCTCGATGGGCAGATCTCGCAGAAGACTCTGAAGAGCTCACCGAGACAGCAGCATCTAGCAGTGGCCTTATGCTTCCTGCTTTGGCTGCAGTGCCGACACATTGCGCCCAAATGAAGAAGCAAAGAAGTCTCTTTTTGAGGCTCGAATGCTGCGACTCACAGCTCGCAAGCATCTGAAGAAGAAGAAGGCGCTCTCGTGTTTTTTCTCAGGGCCCCTGCAGCGTACAGGCTTACGACAGATACCATGTGTCGCTTGCGCCTTGCATTCAGTGATAGTGCAAGCTGATGCATGATCATGCTTTCCAGATTGCTTCCATGAAGAATAACTCTGAAGCTGGGATCGCGATTACGCTGTCAATAGGACATAGCAAAATGGGCGGCAAACTTTTCTCCTGCTTCCACACTGTAGCCACGCACCCCTCCCAACCCCAAATCAGGTTGGAGTTACAAGACCTCCTCCAAGTGGTGGAAGAACTCGTACGCGGATGACTCTAAAGCAACATCGTCCGCGGCGGCCAGGGGCTCAACAGGTATTGATGTAATTTTCTGCAGCAGACACTTGCGGGTTTGTGTGACGCGTATGGAATCTATGAGGTCACGTAAAGATGTTGTAAGGGCTTTGTTTCGCAAGAGGATGGCCCCTGAGCGGAGCACCTGAGATACTTGGGGGCTGAGTGCTAGAAGTCCTTTGCTGCCTGTTCCAAGGAAGAGCCTCAACGTCCTTTGTGCCTCCAAGACCTCCTACGATAGCTCAGCTACAAGTACAGTAGATGGTTTGGGAAAGCCAGGCCTACGGCGCTTACGGCAGCTCACGGAAGTCGCAGTGGCGCTCGGCAGCTAGCGAGTCGTACTATCAGGTCGCATGTCTGAGCAGAGGGACATGTAAGCAGAGCCGTGATTCGCAGAGTGATTCTGGACTGAGATGTTCCTATTGAGAAACTCACGAGCTATCGTGAACGGTGGCATTCCTGTGTAGTTAGCACGTTCTAGCCACAGGCTGTTGCTGTGGTCAACTGACAACCTCTCAAAGAGTGTCAACTGGAAGTAACCAGAAGACTTTTTGTGTGATTTGAAGGTGAAACCTGCGAGACACGAGGCCGGTGGACAGTCTTTAGAAAAATCTCTGCCATCTTGCCTCATGGGCAGTGCTTTTGATGTGGCAGCTTTGTTCTTCTTTTGAAGCCTATGGGTCATTCTCAGCACAAGGGGCTCTGGTTTGGTACCCCATCATAATGTCGCATGGCACCCAGGAACTTGGAGGTCAATCATGAAGACTAATGCTTTGCCCGTTCCCGGATGAGGGATTTTTGGGACAGTCGTGGTCGCGCCAATAGGAAGTGTAAACGGTACGAGACTAGCGTAAAGTAGCTGTCACCAGCTGCATCAGATCAACTAAAAGTAGAGCAACAGAAATGGAAGACCAATATCAGTATCCAGCTGCTGAACTGCAGTGGTTGTTGCCAGAGCAACACATAAGTTGAATTTGCAATCTTTCTCGACAGAAGAGTGATGAACATAGCACTCATCTTGATAAAAAGGGAAGCATGCTTGCTTTGCCACCGTAGCTTGCGCAGGCGCACGGACAGCGACAATCGTGGTGGTCTGCTGCTGGAGGTGCCAGCAAGAGTGAACAGAGCTATCCGATGGTTGCGAGTGATGAAGCCAATGACATTCTTACAGTTTTCGGTGCTACTTGTACCACGGTTGCTGATATTGTAGTAGTGGTGGCCACTATGAATTTTGTTGATAATTTATACTTCCCTAGACTCCTAGACGAAGCAGTGCAGACCTTTGGAGGCTGGCAGTATGAGAAGCCCTCGCAGTCGCATGCCGCGAAAGGAAAGGGTGTCTTGGAACAACCGCTGGCCCGCAGTCCCCAGGATACAGCATCCTGCTCCCCCTCTGCTTTCGTTTTCCAGCGGTGGAAAATCATGAGTTGAAAGGTTCTATTTTCTCAAGGGATGGCTCCCGATACTGCGAGTCTAAAGGGCCTGGTTGCTGTTGCTGTTGGACACATAACTCTCATCAGATCAGAATTATCACAAGTATTGCAATGATTCGCAATGATTAGTCTTTTCCCATCAACTTGACGAGAACAATTCTCCTGTTCTGTAACGATACCGCGCTGGGAACATTCACATTCATCGAAGACGGTCCCTTTCCCAGGCAAGGGCAAAGCAGCTGGCAAAGCGGCCGGCAAGGGAGGGGGCGGTTCCAAGTGCCAGTGCCAGTCCCTTGACGTAAATAGCGATTAAAATGGGAGCATATGCTCACCCCAAAACTGAAGGTCCTCCTCATAGGCACCCCACAGCATACGACAAAAAAGCCCAGGATTCCGACTCATACCCAAACCCCCAGAAGCTTTGGTGGTTGCGATCCCCCTACCAGTGGCCTTAGCCCCTCAATGGTCGGGAACGAAATTGCGTGGCTTGTGGTTGTGGTCTATACAGATCCAGTTTTATGGGGCAGAAGATAGTGATTCCCAGAAGGACCATCGACTCCATATCTGTCTAAGAACCCTTGCAGGAAGGCCTCACAGGAATGCCAGCAAGAAGGTGGAATGGCTAGGTCTGAGCATGTTTGCGCAGCATGAAGCCTGAGCGGGAAGCATGAAGTTGCGGGATACCATGTGACACATGAACAGTGCGACCTTGCAATCATTCCTCAGATGCTAGTTAACTCTTGTCTAGGACGCAGACAGCGCAAGTCTTAGAGTGAGCGCTCTAGAAGCTTCACCATTTTGAATTTATCCTCGGATCTCAAGGTATATCATCGGCATTGAAGAAGAGGCAGCAAGTGCGGCATCTGATGATGGGGGGGCGGCAAATCATGCAAGACTTGGTTCCGTGCTAGTGTTTGTTGTGGGACATGGTGCACCTAAGCCGGGTTACGTCAGAAGGACGTGCATGTAAGGGCGCCGCCCTGAAAGGCCCGCTTTCGAGTTTGCCGACGCCTGCTTGGTCAGAAGGCCAGCAACATCAGTTGCACACTTTTTCCTATAACTATAAGTCATCCATCAGACATCTAGCGAGATTGTCAAGAAGCTGACTTGCATGGAAGGGCCAGCACATGAAGGACATCGCCGAAAAGACCGGCGATGCTTGGCTGCAGAAAGCCTCAAGTCCTCAAGCTCTGGCCCTTGAACCCTGAGCCCCCCCGAAACCCCGAACTCCTAGCACAAGAATCTTTTCCTTTTGTTGAGAGGCTAAGCTTCGCCTTCGTGGTCGTGGCTCCAAGTTCCTAGAGGGAGAAGAGCAGAAGGACGGGCCTATTTTTTTTCTTTGGGGTTTCAAGTTGTAGGGGGACTAGAGGTTGAGGTTCAGGGCCGATTCTCAGAGCCCTGGAAGGAATCCTCGGACCCCTTGATGCTCTGCGTCAGCGTGCCCGACCCTGCCTCCTACGAGGAAGCGAAGTCCAGAGCTCAGAGATTCAAGAACGCCTTTGACATGCGGAGGTTCCTCAACATGGGGATCCCGTTCTGTACCTCTGACAAGGAGCATCCTGCTTATGGGGACCCCCAACTGGGACCCGCAAGTTTCAGAAACTGAACGTCACCAATTGCATCCGTCTTGAGGCACCTGGTCTCCTCCTTGTTGGAGGATATTTACGTCCAGTATCGTGAGTTCCAGATTTCCGAAGGACGATTGCAAGATGAATTGCATCGGAAGTAGACCTAGATAGAGCAGACTTGATAGCCCAGCGGTCCAGGGCGTTTATGTTTGGAATCGCACTGCGTCCAGGCAGTTGGATGCTGGTACTCAGTGCTCAAAATATAATCTCTTGATAGAAATTAGCTACGAGCACGCATGGCGTGGTAAATAGATGCTAGGTTGGGGCTTGTATGATCTGGCAGTTGGCTTAGAAATGGCATTGGCATCTTGCTGTGTGAATGCCTTTACAGAGGCGTGTCGCCATGGCAGGGCTTTAGTGCTTTCATCTCTCTCCATGCATGTTGGGGCAATGGCTACTGCTAGAGTCGTGATGGACGTCATGCTGCTGGGCGCGCTGTGCTCATTTCATCCTGAGCTGTGGGGGGGTAGTGCTCTGAAGAATGTGCGAACATGAACACAGTCAACGCAGGTTTGTTATAATCGGTGGTGGATCTCCGCTCTTGTCTCTCTCGTTTTCATGCTAATGTATGAGTTGTTGAGTCGCGTCGGTCAGGACAGAGGCCCAAGAATCTGAAGGTGAATTTGCACGAAGGCCCTAGACCAGGCAGTTTCTGAATGACGCTTGGCAGCAATCGGCTTGTGGTTTTGAGTGGCAAAGCGGAGCGGAACTTCAAATGGCCAGCCGTGCTCGTGCTTTGAATGCTGATCGTTCTTGGATCTTAGGATACCGCCTTTAGCCAAAACTTGTTCCTGGCCCTCAGAGGGGGTCCCACGTGCCTCGGTGAGTGAACCAGGAAGCCAGCCCTACAAAGCGGAAGCAATGCGATGCAATGGGTGCTAAGGACTTGCAACGCAAACTGATAGACTCATTGCTAAGCACTTTTGCATTTTTGGTCTGCTGCTCCTGGGCTGCAACATGAGTTGCTCGACACGTTTACTCAAGCAGGACTTTCCGCAAGCAGTACTTAGCCAGTTTATTGTGCATTTGACTTGAGTTTTTATAGTTTTCAAGCATGCGCTTTCAAGCATTCGCATGGCAAATCTTGCCAATTGGTATTGGGCTTTCCTGCAGATGTGAGCTTCTGTGCTGTGTGAATGTGAGGTACAGTTACCTGTGTCTGCGCATGTATCACAGACTTACCCGCTGAACACTTTTGCGGGCAAGGAAGACATGCACCCAATTCGGCCCCCTGTGGAGTATTGCATGAAGCCACACACTTCCGGTTTGGGAAGAGTGGCCCAACAGGCCATTCCAAGTGCCGGGCATGGTAACTCCCTCGCCGCCATGTGCGTACGGAGGGGACCATACCCCTGCACCCAAGCAGCTGTCACTCCGCCACACGGCTGCCACAAAACCTTTGCGTTGTTCAGATTAGTCATGCCGGGAGAATTGTCAGCTTGAGCTGGAGTGCATGAGAAGGGATCGTATTGCTTCAGCCTGACTGCCGTGCAGTCCCAGTCAGCAGACCTGGCTTCATGTGACGCTGCATCCGTTGCCGAATTGTACATAGAGCAGCGCAGGTTCGCAGACTTAGACGCCTTGGACTTGCACAAACTTGAGCTCCACAGCTCGTTGATAGAAAGTTTTCCTGCATTGCCCTGCTGGAGTGCGCTTTGCCTGCTGAACTGAAGAGGCAGTTGCAACATGAGGATTCTTGCAACGTCAATTATGCCATGTTATGCTTTTGTACCTCCTGACGACAAAAGGTGCACCTTCCTCACTTTCATTTTCAGAGAGATGCCGGTCGCCTACGGTTTTGATGGGCAGTGCCTGCACACTTATTCAGAGGTTGCCTGCTGCACGATCTGAGAGCAAGCCATACAGATGATGAAAGTTCCTTCTAACCAGCGCATACTCACAGAGTGGTGCTTAGCCGCATAGCTTCTGTGTCCTACCCCGTTGCTTGCGAAATGCCGAGGAGTTTGGCCAAGCGAACAACGACGGGCCGCGCAAGCGTAAGTGGACGGCTCCACCAGAACCAGTGGAAGACCGTGACCCGTGGAAGGATCGGGGAAAGGGAAATGGTGCTTGAAGTCTGCTTTCATGCTCTTTGGGGAGAGTGGGTCGAGGGTGTACCTACAAGCACGAATCTTGTTTAGGGAACGTGGAAGGATGGGGAAAGGGAAATGGTGCGTGAAGTCTGCTTTCATGCTCTTTGGGGAGAGTGGGTCGAGGGTGTATCTACAAGCACGAATCTTATGTAGGGAACGTGGAAGGATGGGGAAAGGGAAATGGTGCGTGAAGTCTGCTTTCATGCTCTTTGGGGAGAGTGGGTCGAGGGTGTACCTACAAGCACGAATCTTGTGCAGGGAACGAACTAGCTTTGAGTCACTCAGTTGAAAGGTCCAGGCTTGTAGAACTTGGACCTTAAGGCTATGTTAACAAGAAGGCTCAACAGGACAACCCCACCTAGATCCAAGATATGCTCAGGGTAATCTGGACGCAAGGAGATGTTAGAATGGTTGGAATCCTGAAAGCATCCGAAGCGATCCGTAGGTAGGAATTACCACATAGTCACATCTGGCCGTGTCTTTCAGCAACAGCAGTAGGGATAGCGTCCTAAGCACACCCGGGCTATGATATGTTATATTGATAGGTTTGCTGTGTGTTCGCGAAAGTTGATAGCCGGCGAAATACCGAGGCTCACAAGAATTTTTTCAGATTTTCGTTCATCGTAGAGACAACACTCGAATGTAAGCGCTACTGGTAGGGAGGGGCAGCCTTGGTTCAGGGCCTTGGGTCGGAGGCCTAGCAAGCTGGAAAGGGGAGTGGGCGCCAGGGAACTTGGATGGGGAAGTGGCAAGGCAAATTTTTATGGAAAGCCCACTCCGTCTGGAGTTTTTATCAACAAATGAGGAAGCAATCTGGATCAACCGAGCGCTGTGGGTGTATCAGTTCCGCCCGTAACGCCGAGGCCTTTTTTCGTTGAGTGCTTCAGCCGCTGGTCTGCTCTATACTTGCACATGCGTCTGCGTGGCGTCCTGGACCTATTGCTTGTTTCGCACTGCTTCCAACAAAGTGCCTTGCCTGCTGCGCCCTTAGGGGTTCCGGTTCGTGCCTCGAAATACCTTTTGCTTCTCAACCGCAGCATGTCGCCCGTGGAGTTTTTTTTGCCTCTTCGAACAGTATCTTTCGAAGCTGCAGAGGCATGTGGATCTAAGTCATAATAATGGGGTGCCAGTTTTGCATAGCACGTCTCACTTTGGCAGCATGCGGTCGCGTGCCTTTAAAGGTGCTTCGCACGTTCTTGATGATACTTCACGTTTTGGTATTGCCTTTGCTTGGAAGTCAAACCAAGTCAGGACACCGACTGGCGCGAAGGCCGTGATGACTGGTTCGACGGCATTCCCCAGGCACGCAGACGGAACGCAAGCCGTAAGACTTCTCGATGGTTGCTGTGGCTTGATCTGCCCATCTCATTTGAGCTGCTTTTGAGGGCCACTTAACCACACTTGTCACTTAATTTTTCATGTTCTTTTCCATTTGGTTCTCCTTTGTTCCTATATCAGCCGTGTCTATTGACCTTGTCTGGTCGCACCCTGATTGCTGTGGTTTTTGCAAGGCCTTTCGGAAGGTTCCAGACTGGGAGGAGCCAGCCTCGAAGAAGTGGCTGAAGCCTGAGGCTTTAAGGCAATGGCTTGGTGGGGACAGGTCCATCACCCAAATTCTTCAACATGTCCAGTTCGGCAGCTGGATGTACGTGTTGAAAAGTTCTTCGCTGCTGGGCTTCACCATAATTGATGGCATGCCGGAAGCCTGGAATTCCGAGGCGCCAGGATGATGAGGACTGGGACGGCACTGGCGAACCGCGCCCTTCGGGTGTCAAGGCCGAAGCAGACATGTCAGCACATTGTCAGCAGCATTTCTGTCGAGGGAAGTCTCGTCACTGCCACGTCCATTCTCGCTTGCACCGTGCCAGCTGAAGTGGACGTCTCGCGGGACCATATAGACATGCAAGGTGTTGCAGAACACCACTAGGTCGCTCAACATTTGGCTCAAGCAAATCACGAGTGGTGTAGATAGTGCAAGAGTTCCCCAGGGTGGATGCAGTGAGGGCTGCAGAGCCATGCCGTGGTGGTCTTCGTCGCCAACGCCCGCAGCTGCCAGCCAGCCTGCTCCCGTAACAGCGGAAGTGGTTGCAGTGCTTCCGAAGGCAACGCCTCCCACGCCGCCTGAGCCGAAGAAGCCTGCGCCACCCACAACCTTTTCCGATCTCGACAACTACAGCCTTTGCGAGTTGCAGCACCTTCAGGCAAACAAATCTGCTCTTGATGATATGATCCTAGAGCAGGCCCAGGTGAAAGACCTTGTGAAGCAACTGGAGGCGGTCCAGTTGGAGAATCGAGGGAAGGCGGAAAACATCTTGAGCAGCGAGCCCAGGACCCAGGCCTCCTCTCAGGCTTATGCCGACGTATCAGAGGCCCTGGCATCCACAAAGGCGTCAGTTGAAGCCCTTGCAGCACAACGTGATGAGATTCTGCGAAAACGCAGTCCGGAGCAGCTTGCCCTCTTGCTAAATGGAGAGGCGCAAAACGCAGATGCAGCAGCTGAAGATCTTTTGCGCAATGCCTCAGAGGCCCAAACCATGGATGCCAGTGCGCTCTCGCAATTTCGCCAGCAATTTGTACAGCAGAAGATGCAGAAGCACATGCGTTTGGCGCTGAAGGCTTCACTGGAGTCAGGCCCAGCGTGAGTGTCGGGCTTTTGGCCTCAGGCTTTGGAAGAGCTTTGCCTGAGGATGAAGCACACACAACTGTTTCTCAATCCGGGAGCTGCAGATGTGTTGATTGTCAGATGCCATTGGAACAGCGGCTAGACAAAACTCAAGGACTCTCCTTGCGTCCTGCTGAATCGAAGATACTTGCGTTGCTGGAGTAATTTTTGCTGATAACTCTGAACTGCTTGCCTACAAGTAGACGCACACGAAACAGCAGGTCAGGCATGCTGAGTTTTGAGGGGGAAGCGTATTTAGCACACAGAGAAGCACATGCTCCCAATCCAAGCCTTAAAGCAAACTGCCGAGTACAGCACTTGTCCAGACAGCTGCCTCAGAGTGTCT